TATTATTGGTTTTTTGTTTGATCCAGACATGTGTACTTATAAATGCTATATATGTATACTTAAAAAGAAGGCAATGTCTGCATTGGGTTCAAACGTTTATCATATCACTTTGCTAGCAAGAAAATAAAATTTCAGACAATAAAAGCAAGAGGAACCCAGTCGATATATAATTTAAGAAGGTATTTATGAGACAATCAACAGATGAAAAGGAACACTCAGCAGAATGATATAAACAAATAAAGCCTTGATTACTTTATCCAACTGGTTTATCTAAGCAAAACACACCAATACCACAATGTCTGTTAATTCTCTTGAAGAAGAAAAAAATGTTAAGACTTGATATAAAAGAGTATCTAACAGTATGAAAAGTGAAGGTTTCTTTTTGAAATCCATCCAGATTCAATATTTATTCCCTCTTCATGCCTACACATTGTTTACATAAACTTTTGGCCCAACTTCAAGGTAAATACTCTTAAGGTAAAGGCAACAGCAAATTAATTTTTTTTTTTTACAACCATTTTGACACAATTTTATTTTTTTTTCTTTAAGGGGATTGTGAACAAAAGTATTGAATTCCAATAACTTTCTAAATATAATAAGCTTAGTTATTATTAACAAAGTTCAATAAACAGCTACCATATTGAAAATTTTCCACAAGGCTAAATCAAAACAATTCTCTACAAATAATTACAATATTTTTTTCAGCCAAATTTCCAGTTCAAAAGTTAAATAAGGGGGTTGGATGGTCGAATAGGTTAAGGGCTGTCATTGAGTCAAATGGAGTGGTTTTGATTCCCCGGTTGTATGTGACAAGGAGTAGGATCGCCTGTTCAACCTCGTGGGTTTTCTCCAGGTCCTCCCACTGCTAAAGATCCCTAAGCTCAGGCAAATTATTGAAATAAAATTGAACCATATGTTAGTCCCGAAATGACCTAGTTTGTGTCGAGTGGACGTTAAACCCCATTCTCTCTCCCTCTCTCTAGGGTTTTCTCCTGATAACATAGTAATAAACAATCAAGGCTTATATTCATGTTTTTTTAGGTCAGGGGACAAAGTGACACAAAATGGCCCTAAACATTAAATACAGGCATAGCTAACAATCCTGACAACTCAATAATATTCAAGGTTTTGGTGACATAAGGTGGTTTGTGACAAATTGTTGCATGATAGCACTGCTCCTTAGAACTATTTGCCCAATCTCAGCAAATTTTGGAGAAAAGAGTTTTTACAAAGTTCCACCAAGAGGAGCAATAACTGGGGCCGGTTTCACGAAATTTCAACTAAGATAAAATCCAAATTTTAGGAATTTGATAGGGTCTTACCTTATTAGGACTAGACAAACCTAATAAATTTGAGAAAAAAAAATCTGAAAAACTCTGACCTGGAAAGCATTTTGTAAGGTTTCGGTGCCAGGGGCAATAACTATATGAAAATTAATTGCCCAACTAAATTTTGATTTCATTTATCCTAAGAACTATCAGAACAATCCCAGAAGTTTAAAAAATAATTAAAAAAAAACTTTGACTAGTTATCAAAAAGCCTTAAGAAGAATAGCAGATCAACTGAAGGACAGTATACTCCCACGTGAATTGCCGGCTTATAAAAATCATTTTAAAACTGTGATTTCCATAAGCTTTAATAAGAGGATAAACTATTAAAAGCATTCACAGTTTCACACTCATTAGATAGGGATTTGAGGGACAAACAGTGAGATTTTCATAAAATCATCTTTTTATCCCCCATCTCTAGAGAAAAGGAATAAAGAATTAAGAGTATTATAATGTTATAAATAACACTTAAAGGAAATGAAATGGGGTTTAACATCCTACTGTTCTGCTCTGACCAGGCTAATGAAGACGGAACACTTAAAGGAGCTAAACCTGCAACACCAGAACAGTAGAATACGGTACTCTTATAAACATCCAAATAAAGGTGTTTTAAAATGTTTTATTGCTACTTTGATCTTTATATTTATAGACTCATTTTTGTGAAAATCTAAATTTCGATCAAAATCATTATTTTCGCTTATTTTGTCTTTATCTCAAAATTAGATTGGGTGGATTCTGACTAATTTTAACGTAACAGGTCACATATTTTCCATAATATTCAAAATTAAAAACACGAATTAGAATTCAATATTGGTACATTTCAATCAATATTGATGTTATTATCTTGCCATGAATATATGGGATCCTAATATCCAATATTTAAGACATAATGAACATTTTATAATCAGTACACAAGTCGTGTATTCAATGGTTTCCGACGCCAGCATATTCTAAAGTAGATTAAGCCTCGAAAAAAAGATAATGTCCAAAATAACGATCAGTCAATAAATAATTATAGATATATCTGAGAAAACGGCACATACATATACAAATTTTAGACACTAATTAACCAATGGTCATGACTAAAAGAATTGTCATGTATCGGCCTCACAATTAACGCATGTCACATGATATCATACCGGTGTGAATATCCCCAGTAGGGTGTTAGTGTTCATACATAGACCTATAGGCCACCTCTGTTTATTCTAGTGGTCAGTATCAGCCATTAGTCCGGACACATATTGACCCAAGATCAACCATTTCACAAATTTCTTTCTTATTTATCAAAGATAAACTTAGTTAATATCATCAAACAACATGCAACCGGTCCATAAGTACATGTAGGATTGTAAATAGAGTTCTACATTTACTGGGAACCGGTCCACAAATACATTTATAATTGTATATAAAGTTCACTTGATACAAACTAGGTCATTTCCAGACTAATATATATATATATAGTTCAATGTTATTTTAATAACTTGTGCTTGCAGTTGCCCATAGGGGTCCTTAGCTGTTCGAAGAAATTGAAGGACAAGAGAAAACCCACAGGGTTAGTTAGGTGACCATACTTCTTGTCACATACAAAGCTTGGGATTGAAATCATGTCACTTGACTTAAAGGACAATATTGGTGTCAGTCATTATCACATATGTGATAGAACTAATTAAACACGTTCCAAATATCATTTTATCACAGAGATCATTGCTACAATAGCTGAGTAATACAGAAGTGACGAGTAATAACAGAAACATGAGCTAATTTCTGCTCAATAATAATTCCTTCCAAGACCAAAAGTTGTTGTGTGAGACTGTGAGAGGATATCTGACAATTCATAAAAAGGAATTGACTGCCACAAGAGAACAGGAAAGAAAAACAGAAAAAGTCTGTGCATTACCATGTTTTTATAAGGTATAGAATGAATATAACAAGAGAATGTACGGACTATTTCTATTTTTCTCGTGTTCTCTTATCTAATGACATTCAATTACTTTATTGAATTGTCAGGTATCCTCTTACAGTCCCATATAACAACTTTTGGTCTTCGAAGAAATTATTAGTGAGCAGAAATTTGGCCGTGTATCTGTTATCACTTGTCACATCAGTCAGTTATATAGAGGGATTACTTGTGTTTCCCTTTGGCGTTCGTCATTTCCGATTCAGGAAACCTGTATTACTCAGCTATCGTAGCAATGATCTCTGTGTTAAAATTATATTTGGAATGTGTTTAACCAGCTCTATCACATATGTGATAATGACTGACACCAATATTGTCCTTTAATGACAGACCTTAGACCCCTTCCTGCTCCCCTACCCAGAAAAGAATATAATTTAATGTCTCCTCAATATTTCAGTCAATTTAAAACAAACATACGATTATTTGTTTTATGGTCATGCTGTGTGTCCAAGGTTATTTTATGTGTTCTATAAGTTTTTTTGTCTCATCCACACAACCAGGGAACCCTTTACTTGCCAGAACATTCTGTCAAGAGTATTCTGAATGCCTCCTTTGTTACAAATTTCTCTCTTGATTGTCTGTTTCCACATATTTTGTATGTTACAGTTAAACACAGCTAAATAACCTGGTTAACAATACTTTACTCAATTTCTTAAAGGTCTCCGGAAAAGCTTCATTAATTTTTTAAATAATGCAAGCAATTATGTCAACATACCCTTTCCATAAGTATATCACGTCATTTTAGTCCTTCTGCTCATAGAAATATAGACTAGAATATGAGCAGAAGGACTAAAATGACGTCACAGATTGTTTATTGACGGAAAGTTACGACTACTCACGGAGAATGGCAGAAATAACTAATGTTGAAATTTACCTGTTGCAGGTAATATTGACATTCGGGTTCGTGTTATACTTATGGAAAAGGTATGTTGACATAATAACTTGCATTATTCAAAAAAATAAATTGAAGCTTTTACCGTGACCTTTAAAGCTACTTTCTCACAAAAGTAGAATCATCCAATCTTACTAGAAAAATACTGGATTCCCTGAAAAAACACCCATGGAGCGGATACAGTGCAACCCGATGATTATGGATGTCTGCTCGAGTGACATCAAAAGTTGCAAGCGAAGATTATCTGACCTCTCAGCGTTAGTGAGCTTAAGCGCACAACAGTGTCTGAGATAAAATCCAGGAAAAAAGATGTGGGCAGTGGATAATCAGACAATTTAATTAGGCTTAGATATATATGATAAAAGGACAGCGATTAAAGACAACATCGTTGTGTATGTGCAACGAATTCTCCTTCGGCTTCGCATCCGTTATAGGTACCGCGTCAGCCAAATCACATGACACAAACATGACTTTTTATAGCAGGGGTATTCCCTTGCGAATACAATGTTTTGAATCAAAATTTTGATAGATTAACTAGTTTGAATATGTTGTTAGTCCAAATATATCATAAAATCACCCAGTTTGTATGCGGGAAGGTATCTTTAACACATCGGATTGCTCTACTTTTTGCATGATTCTGGAGTGAATGTAAGCTTGTAGCTTCAAGTGCATGTAAATGTTTGATTTACACTCAGTCAGAGGATATTCAACTATAAATCAGATAATTAGTTAGTTAGATCGGAAATATCTTGAATAAAAACAAAAAACCGAAAACTTTCGTTCTTGAGTATGTGTATTGTTAAAATAAATATTGATGACTTACCTTGAGACGTTGATGCATACAATATTTACATACTTGATGTCGTAACGACGCTTTATCTATGTACTGTGATTGAGGTAAAAATCCTTTTTTAGGCTGAAAAATAACAAAACGAGTTTATATTTAAACATACATTATGAAAGAGCTAAATCTACCTATTGCAGGTGTTTCTTTAGGGCTGAAATGTTATATAAACTATTAATTGGATATTTATTAACATGCACATACCTTAATCAACTCTCGATGCCATCTTATGTATCGGATTTTCACTGGATTTGAATTTGATCTGCTGCTCAACTGGATAATCAAGACTATGTTTTTTTTTATCGTACCGACTTTAGGAATGATGATCGAGGCTAGGCTTAAAATTAAATCGCTAATTTCTTGGTTCAGAGTGGAGCAATTTGACTGAAATTTTCAGCATATTTCCTTTACATTATTTAGTTTTTAACTATTATAGTTAGAACTGCCAGCTCTTTATCTTATCTTCCATAATGTCCCTATATATTTACCTAAATATTGTTTGCAATATTTCAGTTTGTGGTCAATATCTGACAATGTACTCAAATTGATTATTTAAAGGACAATATTTTTGAATTGTGAGATACCCTCTCACCGTCCCATATAATAACTTTTCAATTTCAACGGAATTATCAGTGAAATGAAATTCGATCGTTTGTCTCTTACCGCTCGTTACTTCAGTCTGTTACATAGAAGGACAACTCGTGTTTGTCATGTTTGGCGTCACTTCCCGTTTCTTCACGTACTTGTAACAGGTCTCCCGTAGCAATGATCTCTGTGTTAAAATTATATTTGGAATGTATTTAACCAGTTCTATCACATATGTAATAATGACTGACACCAATATTGTCCTTTAATATTTAATTAAGAAAACTGTATGGCATTTCATTTCTTCCATGTATGAATTTAATCTTGTAAAGACAAATTTGAATTTTGAAATCCAAATATAAAGATTTAAATTCAATATATTTAAATTCCCACGAATACTGACAAAATACGAATATAATCTATTATATATATTTAATTATCCTTTCACAAATATCTTAATTACTTCAGTATTAAGTTAAACATGCATGACACTGGTATTAATAAAATTCTTTGTGAACATCTGCTCAATGTATTTAAGCAAGCTAATTAGTAGAAGTGATCTTTTTAAGCCGAGACTTAGTGGATTAAAGTATTAAGATCGCAATTCAGTTTCTTTTTATTGTAAAAAGCTCAATATTTTGGGGACTAATATAGAATATATTATTTTTAATTAACTTGAATACAGAAAATAAAATGAAATGGGGTTTAATGTCCTACTGTTCTGTTCCGTCTGTGAGCGGAGAAAACCCACAAGGTGGGATTGGTAACCTTACCCCTTGTCATGTACAACCGATGAATCAAAACCACGCCAGATGACTCAATGACAGGCCTTATGATACAGCGAGCACGCGCTAACCATTTGGCCATCCAACCGCTATAATATTTCAAAAATAGATAATGCAAAATGAATATGTGACTCCCCATGGAATAATGAGTCACAATGAGGAAATTTTGAAAATTGAGTTATTGTTATTGTCACATTCTCCAACTCATTTCCTTCAATTTGATGTATAGTTTGTTTGAATCGGGCAAAACTTGACTGAGCTGTGTCCAGCTCACAAAAGTAAGTTTTGAGCAAAAGCAAGTCAAAGATTTGGTATGTTCCAAAACAAAATCCCACAGCAACCAGGCCATTATTTGCTGTTTTGTCGTTGAATATATCTTTCCATGGTTTTCAGGGGTGCTAAAGGCGATTTTCGTCATTTATTTGCTATTTTGTCATTTAATATTTTTTTATTTAGGATTTCAAGGGTGCTGAAAACGAAAATCGCGGTAAATTCACTTGTTTCGTAACGAAACATCCATAATACATGCGGCATATTCATATGATAGTGTTATACTGAAGAACAATCTATACATTAGTAGTCTATGTTTTGTATATTATAACTTTGGTGAGATTAACAGTTAATCTCATCAATTAATTAGCACCTTAGTGAAAGCTAGTGGTGAGGAGATTAAGGTTGTTGATTGGGTAATCATCAAAAAAGCTGACACAGCTGTACGCATTTTTAACACATGAATTAAAATAAGATTTTGCATGTACGATAGGTCTATTATTATTTTCAGTTACCGTAATGGTATCAAAATATGCGTCCCTATAGAAATGTCAGTTTCATTGGCAAGAAATACTTAAGTTCACTTTCGTGCATTTTGGCAGTGGTGTAATTAAACATTGGCAGACTGTTTTCCCATTCATGAATCGTCGCATTTCGGCACGTTGGTCGCTCTCTATTTTTCGACCCATGGTGATAAAAGAATTTTAAACAGTAATATCCAATATGCATTCCTTACTTTGCATGCCGTATGAAGAAGCGACAGAAAACAGAATTCAGGTATCAGTAAAATTCTCTTTGAAAAGAAAATTAATGTCCATTTTGTTTATTTCCTTTCAAGGCCTATAAATCATTTTTTTAAAGATGAAATGAGATATCAAATAATCACTGCTTGGATTAATTATTCGGAGTAAATAATAAGTTGTCAACGGCTTTATCATTGATTCGTGACAGTTGAATTGAATGTAGGTACCCCGAAACATTATCGCTCGAGCCAGCCACGTATTTTGCGTGCGGTGGTCTGGGCCAATCAGTGAACCAGCTGTGTAGACAGCATAGCAACAAGCGGAGTTTGTTTACATTTTTAGGGGTTTTAAAACTCGATTGTATCTGTTCAAAAAAAATTCATCAGCAATATTTTGGTCATATTTGTAAACTAGAGATTCTCTGCTTTACAACGATGCCAAGAGGAATGACCGGTTGTCTCGCTGCGAGCAAAGAAAAATAACTAATTTCGCTGAGAATTTTAAGAAATAGGACAGATTTAAGAATACAGTACTCTTACAAAACGTTCAAGTAAAGGTGTTCTAAAATCTTGTATTGCTATTTTGATCTTTTGTGCTGATAGATAGTATATTTATAGACTCATATTTGTAAAAATCTCAATTTCGATCAAAATCAATATTTTCACTTATTTTGTCTTTATCTCATTATTGATTAGCGCGCATTCTGACTCATTTATCTGTGGCCAGTCACATATATTGAAAATTTCATTCAAATTACTTTATTTTGAGCCAAGTTATCAATGTTTGTAATTTGACAAGATAAGTAAATCAATCGTAACCACCGTACTGGTCATTTGAGTCTTAGCCTCGCTTCTCCATATTTAAATTAAATCATTAAATGGCCGAACTGTTCTAATCTACTTAAAATTGGAGCCATCAGATAGCATTGCGAGTTGATTATGGTCTTGTTATGTTAATTAATGTCTAATTAATAATCTAGATAACATTTCAGGCCTAAAGAAAGAACTACAATAGACAGATTTAGCTCTTGCATAATGCATGTTTAAATGTTAAATAATCAATCTGAGTACATATTTAGCGTGGATTTAGACGAGAGAAATTTGATATTGTAGCGAAAATACAAATAATGGATCAGTAGTAAGATATACATACTTTAAGTTCAATACTAATAGTGGGTCCACATGCTGTATCATCTATAATAGTTGTACCATTAGATAAAGACTGGGTACACGTATAAACAGGACCGGTATTAGGAAGAAAACATAGATCAGGTAAAACAAGGGCTGTTCGAGCTCGGGTATCAACGTTATCTTGTGATTTACATCTTCTGTGAACTGAAGAAAAACAAAACACCCAATAATTCATTTCTCTTATGATGCGTCTTCCCTAATTGATAGAGGTGGCTAAGTGAGTAAGGCGCCGACTCGCTAGTCTGGAGGTTGCAGGTTCGCTCCTGGTGTTGGCTGAGAAAGTTCATCGTGATTTTCCGGCATGGTTTCTCCATGTCAGTGGTGCCGGACGAAGGGCCTGGCAAGGACAAATGAAATGAAATGGGGTTTAACGTCCTACTGTTCTGCTCCTATGCTGGGCTAATGAAGACGGGCATATGCCATACAGTGTGCTCTGAGGGGAATTTTGCCCGGGCCGCGGCACTATCGCCTACTCTTATATCGAATTCTAACTGCCAAGGGATCTTTACGTGCATTCCAATTTATACACGGGACCTCGGTTTTTCGTCTCATCCGAGGGACTAGACAGCTGTCCTTGTCAGGCCCTCCGTCCTGCATCACTGACAAGGGGGAACCACGTCAAAAATCTGGATGAACTTTCTCGGTCAATGCAGGGATCGAACACCCGACTTCCAGGCTAGCGAGCCAGCGCCTCACCCACTTAGCCACGTGATCCCCCCTGACAAGGACAGCTGTCTAGCCGTTCTGATGGGATGAAAAACTGAGGTAAAAGATCCCTTGGCAGTTGGAATTCGATATAAGAGTAGACCTTGGCGTAACTGTCCAGGCCAAATTTCCCTCAAAACACACTGTATGGCATATGCCTCTCTTCATTAGCTCAGTCAGAGCAGAACAGTAGGATGTTAAACCCCATTTCATTTATTTCAAATTTCAACAGACAAAGGATCTTCCACCCCAGCGGTTAACCCTGACAAGTCCAACATTGCCTCCCTGCCCCTCTCCCCACAGTTTAACCCTGGCCTCCAGGATCCCAACAGCTGAGCTCCCCGCACTTACCAGACACACCCGTAAAAGCTGAAACCCAGACCTATAACAACCAATTTCGAAACCCAAGCTGATTCTCATCCCAGGGTCCTAACAGCTGATCTTACTGCAGCTGCCATCTGAAACCCAGACCTAAAACAACCTATTTCAATACCAAAACTGATTCTCATCCAAGGGTCTTAACAGCTGATCTCCCAGGCCTAAAATAACCTATTTTTAAACTGAAACAACATCTTTACCTGGTCTTGATTCATTTACCATCACCTCAGCTTCTTTAGTCAAACCATTTTTAATCTCACATAAAACCTGAATAATAAATATCAAAACATATTTAACAAACAGTACAGAATTATTTATATAAATATTCAATAGAATTTATATCCTGCCCATCCCAGCAGCAGAATACACACTTTGTACAATTTGAACTCTTCATCAGAAATGTTGCTAGGAAATAATAAAATAAGTTGCACTCTATATCCAATTCAACACAGGGTATAATATCACAGACCATGAAATAACACACAGGATATCATATTACATACCATGAAATAACACACAGAGCATTATATCACTGACCATGAAATAACACACAGCGTATTATATCACAAACCATGAAATAACACACAGCTTATTATATCACAAACCATGAAATAACACACAGGGTATTATATCCTAGACCATGAAATAACACACAGAGCATTATATCACTGACCATGAAATAACACACAGAGCATTATAACACATACCATGAAATAACACACAGGGTAATATAGCACATACCATGAAATAACACACAGGGTAATATATCACAGACCATGAAATAACACACAGGGTATCATAACACAGACCATGAAATAACACACAGGGTATCATATCACAAACCATGAAATAACACACAGGGTATCATAACACATACCATGAAATAACACACAGGATATCATATTACATACCATGAAATAACACAGGGTATTATATCACAGACCATGAAATAACACACAGGGTATTATATCACAAACCATGAAATAACACACAGAGTATCATAACACAGATCATGAAATAACAAACAGGGTATTATATCACAAACCATGAAATAACCAACTCTAATCATTTTAGAAAACATTTTACATATACCATAAATAATGTATCTAAGAAATTAAGTTAACAATTTACAATATGATTTATCTACTTTCCTGGTAATAATCTCCCCAGCAACGAACTTGATAAGACTGTATTTACAATGAGAAAAGTTTTAATCCAGGATATTATCAACTAGTAGTGAAATACTTACAGGTGGTTCAACATAATGTGTCGAGAGTAAGGGTTGCATAACATTCTCTACATAGTTTATAACTTTTCTTAATTCATCTTCAATAATATCAGTTGGTAAATTTGTCTGTAATATAAATACAATATAATTATTAACATACTTTGTCTCAGTATCAAACTGACTTTCGGCATTAGGGGCCAATTAACCATGGGCCTCGGTATAATACTGATGTTTTAGACCCAATTACACTTGGGCCTTACTTTAAAACTGATATTCGGGCCAATTAAACTTGGGCCTTAGTTTAAAACCGATGTTCGGGGTCAATTACACTTGCGAGGCCAATTACACTTGTGCCTCTGTATAATACTGACATCCAGGGCCCATTACACTTGGGCCTCAGTATAACACTGACATTCTAGACCAATTACATGTGTTGTATAGAGCCATGTATGTATAATACGCAATGGCTTCAATATCATGGGGTCATGGTGACTAAGTGGGTAAGACGATGGCTCGCGAACCTGGAGGTCGGGTGTTTGATCCCTGCATTGGCTGAGAAAGATCCCCCTTGTCAGTGATGCAGAACAGAGGGCCTGAAGAGGACAGCTGTCTAGTTGTACGGATGGTACGAAATACAAGGCCTCTGAATATCATTGATGTAGTAACAGTTCTGGTCATGTACTCGACATATGCAAAACTTTCTAGTCGGTCACTGGCTCACTAACAAGGAGGTCTGGTTCGATCCAGGTGTTGGCCAAAAAGTTCCCTATGAACTTTCAATGCAGGACAGGGGAATGGCAAGGAAAAGTGTCTAGTAATTCTGATGGGACAAAAGCACGGCATCTACCTGTTTTCTTTAGCCTGACAGGTGCAGAACAGTAAGACACTCCATTTCATGTAAATTGTAATATAAGGTGATTCATCATGAGATCTTTATACATTGTATTTTGCCAATCAAAATCAAACTGCATGGTGACCATGGTCTGCCCCAACATTCGCAGATTCCCACAAATTTTTAGGTCCAGAAAATAATTAATTTGAAATGGCCATAATTTTAGATATAGCCAGTAATTTGCTTACCTGTTGTGTATCAAGAGATTTTGTTATAGCATCTAGTTGTTGTGTATAATATTGTTTAACAAATCTATAAACTTGTTGTTCCTGAAATAATAATAATAAATGAAATGAATGAAATGAAATGAAATGGGGTTTAACGTCCTACTGTTCTGCTCCTAACCTGGGCTAATGAAGACGGGCATACGCCATACAGTGTGCTATGAGGGAAATTTTGCCCGCACAGCGGCACTACGGCCTACTCTTATATCGAATTCCAACTGCCAAGGGATCTTTTACGTGCACGCCAATGTGTACACGGGACCTCGGTTTTTCGTCCCATCCGAACGACTAGACAGCTTTCCTTGTCAGCCCCTCCGTCCTGCATTAATAATAATAAATCAAAACACGAAGTTTGAGAATACATCCTTTTTGTGGTGCCTTCCATGTAGTTAGGAAAGAGATAGAGAAATGGGGTTTAATGCCCACTCTACATAAACCTACATTTTGGAGCTAACATATGGTTAAATTTTATTTCAATAATCCACATGTGTGTAGGGGTCTTTAGCAGTGGGAGGAAACCTGAGGACAAGGTTAGACAGGTGACCCTACTCCTTGTCATGCACAAGCAGGAAATCTAAACCACGCCCCTTGACTCAATAACATACCCTCTGATCCAACCTATGCATTAACCATTCGCCCGCGCCCCCATGTAGTTAGGTTTTAATATGTTCGGTGTGGAATTAAAATTTGGGTTGGTGTACAGTGTAGATAGACCTATCAGTGCACTGGTGCCTGAAAATTATGTTAGGTCTTAGCATACCACAGAATTGTTTTTCTTGGTGTTCTGCCTGATCTGTTCTCTGTCAGAATAAATGTGTGAAAGAAAGGGTCAAGGACAAAAAGTCATATCCAGTGACCTTGTGTTATGTATAAAGCTTTGTGGTTGAATAGATTGTTCTTATGGACATTCCCTTGTCAATACCATTTGGGGTCTAGTAAAAACACCTCTTGGGACAGTAACTGAAAACCATCAAAGGATTCCAGCAGTTGAATAACATGGAATGCACCCTGGAATTTAAGTAATGTACATTGGTATAAAAAAAATATTGAGAAGCTACATCCCGTTTAAAGTCCTGGCATTTTATACAGTGATGGGATTTCAAAATTTTAGTTGTCGGACAATTTCTTCCCGAAAATAAAGGGACATAACTCTTATCGTTATTTAAGCAGGCGTTTTCAAACCACAATTAAGAATCATGTGTCAACAAAATATTCAAATTCATACGTAATAAAAAAAATAGGTGCACCTCGTTATTTTTCATATTTAATTTCCGTACGGTATTCAAATAATATTCCTACAAAATTCCAAGACATCGTAATATCTAAGTTCACTTTTCATGTGTCACGATTAAGTGATAGAATGGACCATCAAGTCTTATCAATGATTTTTATTTGTCCCAAACAGTCTCTGTAGGAAAAAATAGTAAACCCTCCTTTTATAGTAACAAGTGTTATGTGGTGTTACAAGAATGTGTACGCATACACTGTCTCATGCAAAATAAACATATAGACCCGGGACTGTAGAGCACAGTGGACACCAACGGCTGGCTTCTGGATCCATTCACTTTATTTGATACGGTACCATACATTTGTTGTTTATTGTTTGAAAATGAAATGTCTGTAGATACTGCATGTCTTGTCTGCGGGGTTTTCTTGAAAATTTGTTCATGTGTGGTGTGGTGTCCTCCTGCACTTACTAATAGAGATTACTTTTATTTGAATGTCAATCAAAATGTCAACAAATTAAGACAGCAAGGCCCGGGTTGGCAAGGGCATTACTAATGATTGTCTTAATCACTGTCTAATGCCATTGGTTTGGTCAACTTGAAATAAACAATAGTTATTTTAGTGTTAAGATGGATTTATCAAAAATAAATAATGGAAAAACGTAGACAAAGACATAGTGAAACATTTGACACAATAACGTACCTCTAGATTAGCTACAGCAAGACTACAATTGCCTTCTCCTCGATATTGCCATTCAGTTTTTCTTTCTATGGGCAGCGCCATATTACAATGAAGATTCTCACCTCCTTTTGTCGACAATGAAGAGCTCCGGTCTGTAAATTGAAAGTAGAGCACGGCTTCAAGGAACGGTTTGCAAGAGAAATGGTAACACTCCGCTAGTGTACCTATAACCTGCGAATAAATATGCAGCATACTTGTACACACTGCTTTTTTAAATTATTTAATGAAAAAAAAATATATAAAAAATTATGAATTGTGTAGCGGTATATTAATGCATGAGTAGGCCGAAGTTTGACGGATGTTGATCAAAAACGCCTGAGGCATATAAAAAAATTAAACGGATAACTTTAGAGAGTTAAAATTAGATCTAGACCTAATATATTTCCCATTTTTAGATTTCACCATATTTTTGGCCTACTTATTCATACTTAATTTTTAAAAAAAGCAAAAAACAAAAAACAAAAAACTTTCATTTAGAAGTGGATACATACATTTCTGAAAGAGGAAGGGTGGAAATTCGGCCGAAATGGAGAAAAAAAAGTCAATTTGTTGTCCAGAAGTGGGCCTACACTCAGCTTAATCCAAAATTCGAACAGCAAAAAACGGGATTATGGAATTGATAATCGAACTTTATTCTACTCTTAATCCCTGCGTTATAACGTGATTTTGATGGGCTATACATTCGTACGGAACTTGCTTTTAATTGCGTTCTTATTGCGAAACAAATCTTAACTTTAAATCAAATCGACATGTAAAATTTGATTTATTTTTTGTGTTTGTTGGGGTTTTTTTTATGTAAATCATATACGGATCCTTCGCAGTTATATGGGAATCACGGTTCAATACACACTGATCCGCAATGAATATTCGCTAGGTATACTCTGTGAAACAGATTGGGTTCAGTACAGGATGAGGATAGCCTACATGACCTAACTTATCGTTTAAACGCAATAAAAATAGACCTGACTTATATTATTCTTAAAATGACCTTAACGTGACCTTGGAGGTTTTGGGCTATTTCCAAGTTGTTCCACAGAGAAAATACACGCAGGAATAACTATGGAACAGTTAGGTCTATATCCAATAATAATTAGTAGGCCTAAATATTAAGAGATGTTACCTACCTTTATAAAACTCTTGTAAAATGATTAATAACAGTATCATCTATACACTTTATAACCCAATTAAATATCGACACATCAATAATTCCAGCTGCAGGCCTACTGGGCGTTGTCCGCGATAAAGCATGTTCATTTATTATCTAATAATCAATAAAACCATGATTAAAACTCAAAGAATGCTTACCTTGCAATGTGATATTTGATAGAAAACATGACAAAACTATTCTTCAATATATCGATGCTTTCAAATAAGGAATATTCAATAGAGCGCTTTCAGAACACGTGACTCTCAGAAACATCACCCCAAACCAGAAAACAGAAACTTTACGAAAGATTTCTTTACTAACACCTGTCTATTTCTGCCATTGCGTGTCGACGATGATGGACGGTGGTCAATGTTGTTTCGTGTTAATTGCAGCCTAACCCATGCTATCCCTTTCTATCTGATTAGTTCGCACGTATAGAATGAAGACTAATGTAATTTTGGTGTGATGGTATGGTCGATCTGTTTTTCAAAGTTATTTAGTTTTTACAAAACCAGAACCATCAATATAAAGAATTATTTCTGTCTAGCTCTGCCTCGGAGAATAAATTAATGTAGATATTCACCGGAATTTCATATCGATTTCTCAATGGGGCTTCATCATCTCTTTTAAATTCTTGTCGAAAACCGACTTTATTTTTTAGGAATTTATGGGGAGTTTATTACTCGCGTGGAATTAATGCTACAGGGTATTCGAATTGTGTTTAAACTATAAAAGTTACATCGACAATGGCTGGGAATAAATCTATAACAAAAATCAAAATCGATTTGATTACTAACTTTGAAAGAACTATGGTGGTCACTTACTGGTTTACATTTCATGATCAGACCAGACTCCACAGGATTAGCAATTAGCTAAACTATAACTATACTTAATCCCTTGGATATCAGTTAGAAATGGCGTATTGACTGGGTATAAAATCTATTTAATCCTTTTCATAGATACGCATACCGTATTCCGAATTACGATATCACTTTTATTCTGGATATTAAATACTTCATATCAGTTAACTACGTGTTCCTGTACTCTTTAGGAACCCCTGCTTAATAGCTTACGAGTTACAGAGAGAGAGAGAGAGAGAGGGAGAGAGAGAGAGAGAGAGAGAGATGGGTTTAACGTCCACTCGACACAAACTAGGTCATTTCGGGACTAACATATGGTTCAATTTCATTTCAATAATTCGCTTGCGCCTAGGTTTCTTTAGCAGTGGGAGAAAAACGGAGGACTCGGAGAAAACTCACGAGGTTGGATGCGAGTTACAGTCAGACACCAGTAAAGTGCACCTCCTCAGAACATACAGAATTGAACCCCTTCAGATAAGTTCTAAATTAAGTGGCTTGATTACTCACACACGGAATGAACCTCGTTAGGTAAGTTCACAAAAGTCATAACCCTTTTAAATTATTTTGAATAGAGGGTGGGGTGTCGAGGAGGTGCTTGCCAACACTAGCATGTTGCAACTTATTTGGATGCAGTTTTAAAGGGACCATCCCGATTTTAACTGAATCTCGGAAATAAAAGTCCGTGTACGTCTGAAATTTAACCCCCAAAATATAGAGGAATGATGTATTGACCTTGTCCCAAAATTTCAGCTCAAAATATTGAGTCGTTTGGAAGATTTCGGGTCAATTTTTTCGTTGGGTGACCTGATAATCTATTGCCGTGCTTTTAGAGATCAATGCAGTGCATGACCCACACTCTGTACTTGATTACCAATGTAAATTTCACCTGCACGTTATTTTTATAAAATAAAAGTCTGGTTTTATCCAGATGCCATATAATGCAGCTTGGGACACCGGTCTCCATTTCCAGACGGATTTAAGTCGTTTGAAAGCGTGTCTCGTATATTGAGTTAGTTGCTCGGCCCTAAGGTAGAGGATTTTAAGGGCTTTTAACACAAAATTAAGCAGTTTCATTCTTCAACATAACAGGGACCCCACGAACAGGGACTTGATTTTGTATTACCCAATCCCTTTCTATTTTGTTTTGGAACGAATTTTGTTGGTTTATTTTATTTTATTTTTTTTATGTTTTTTTTTTATTTTTTATGTTTTTTTTTTCGGTTGAAAATTTGAAAATATGAATATACATTTTATTATTTATCCCCAGATAGAATTTATTCGACATCTTTTTGATATATGAGTTTGTATATTTGTATATAGGAGTTTGTATATTTCCATATTGTAAGAAGACATAGAAAATGGCTTACCTGTTTCAAGCATCGTGACTGCTCTGTTTGTGTCTGATGATATTTTTTTTTCAAGCCACAGGTGTAATTTATTGTTTGCGTCTAATTCTTTTAGTTTAGACAGAACTGGATGAGCTGTAACCTTAAATAACAGATGTGACAATACCAACATCTATTTTAAAACAGTTATAAATAAGAATCCACTTTAATTAGTCATTGTCTTTGTTCACTTGAAGTTTGTTTTCGAATCCAGTTTTTGTTAATTATGTTGCCTTTTGTTACTTTATAGAATTCCAACCTCGTGGGTTTTCTCCGGATCTCCCCCCCCCCTCACCCTCCCCGTTTCCTAACACAGTTAAAGACCCCTACGGGCAAACGAATTATTGAAATAAAATTGAACCATATGTTAGTCCCGAAATGACATAGTTAGTGTCAAGTGATCGTTAAATATAGAAGGGTGACCTCAAAGATAAGGTTCCGCAACAGGCTACTAAACTCCCAGGTTCAAACTACGGCAAGAGACGAATTTCAGGATAAGTGAAGCCTGATTCCCATTTTTCAATCAGAGGTAGCGTCTTTTGGGCTGACAGTTAAAATGTTGCCAAGTCGCTCGGATTGGACGAAAAAACAGGCCTACCCCTGTACACGTAACATAACCCTTAGCTAGGTCCGGATTAAGGCTGCTTACTGAAGCACCTAATTTTGAAAACAAAACGACAAAAAGTAACACAAATATAATGATTATACTACGAAATAACGGATTATAATATTTAAAATAACGGATACATATTATAATAAATACACATGTGTATATTACTGTGGGAGTCACGGTGGCTAAGTGGGTAAGACGCTGGCTCGCTAACCTGGAGGTCGCGTGTTTGATCCCTCCATTGGCCGAGAAAGTTCATCGGGATTTTCCGACGTGGTTTCCCCTTGTCAGTGGTGTAGAACGGAGGGTCTGACAAGAACAGCTGTCTAGTCGTTCGGATGGGACGAAAAACTGAGGTTCCGTGTATACATTGGCATGGAAGTTGGAATTCGATACAAGAGTAGGCCACAGTGCCGCTGCCCTGGCAAAATTTCCCTCATAGCACACTGTCGTATGGCGTATGCTCGTCTTCATTAGCCCAGTCGGAGCAGAACAGTAGGACATTAAACCCCATTTCATTTCATTTCGTATATTACTGTATTACTGTATGAAGCTCAAATTTGCTTTTTCTAGCCTTACTGCTTGCAAAATTGTGAATAAAATCGTGATAATTAAAACTTCTGACAATATTACTTTCTATGCTTGAGCGATGGCGATGGAGTTGTGTCAGATATCTAAGACTATTCAAGATGTGCTGGTGTCTTCTACAATAATTTTAGAAAATATGAGGGCCGAAATTTGTAAGGACCCAAGGCTATATAGCCTTATTAGCCTAAAGGTTAATCCGGTCACGCCCTTAGTAATTGGAATTCGATGAAAAATGGGAGGAAACGCCAGTGTCCGGGCCGAGTTCCCCCCCCCCCCAGCTTTTTACACATGACAATAACAATAATCAAATGTTGGTCTCAAAATGACAAAGTATTATGTTGACGAGACGTTAAACTCCACTTTCCTGTCTCCATGACAACTATATAGTTCCGGAACTCCAGAATTAACCATTAACTTTATGTAGAAATCCCATGGGTTTCCAAGAATCCGCTCTTACAAGATTGTTCTAAAATAATATTATAAGATACTTCTATCTTTTAGGAAAATTTAGAAAATTCCG